AAGTAGTAGTACTACACTACACGAGACTATATATATATATATATATATATATATATATATATATATATATGCGTGTGTGTATGTGTACAATAATATTATATATACTATTTTATTATTATATTATATTATAAATTATGATATGTTACATGTTATATATCATTATATATTATAATATGTATATAGCCACGTACTCGCTGGATACAAGGTGAATCCAATTGGCCTGTATGTGTTCGTCACATTCATCCCCACTTTGTGTGTGAGTGCCCTCCGCACGAGGTGAGTTGCAATAGGCCATTGCTTGTGGGTTAGTGTCGTGTGTGTCAATACATGAGTGCTGCATCCCAGGAGACCTTTGCTGTGGGCGAGTGTGTATTGTATTGCGGTCAGTCTCTTCCGTACCTTTTAAGTCAGGCTATGACCTGCCTACCATGCCAGTACCACCACATGTGTGACTAAGGCAATGCCCTGCCAGTCGAGTAAGTAGGTATATATAACCATGTGATCAGTGAGTAGGTATGTATAGCCATGTGTTCAAGTACATGCACGTGTGCATATAATAACTCACACTAGTACTATGTAGTCCTTCTTCCACCATCTACTCATATGCCGTTCAACTACAGGAAAAGTCCAGGCTGTGGCTGGGTATAATGAAATCGACCATCAACCTGCCCCGAATGGGCAAGACAGGGCCCAACGTGGCCCAGAAATTGGGGCGCACGTACACTAAAAGTAGCAATGTGAAAGACACCGCACCACCACCACTACCACGCACTGACAGTATCAGTCAGGTCAAGACCGAAGCGGCGGGAGGGTATGTACATTGGGTTAATGTAGGGTTGTAGGGAGGGTATGTATATTTAGTTAGTGTAGGGTTGTAAGGAGGGTATGTATGTTGGTTTAGTGTAGGGTTGTAGGGAGGGTATGCATGTTGGGTTAGCATAGGGTTGTAGGGATGGTATGTATGTTGGGTTAGTGTAGGGATGTTGGGTTGTAGGGAGGGTATATGTTTTACTGGGTTAGTATTATGTCATAAATTGAGTGTAGGTATAAGGCTTGGGTGGGTAATGTTATGTAGCGTGTTGATTGGGTCATCTACAACAGTCTGTGAGTAGAGTAGTGTATCTGCATTGACTGGTAATGAGTTTGATTCATGCGCTCAATGTGTATGTTTCGCTCTCGTTTAGGGTATGTGTACATCATCTGTGCACGTCATCTGTATAGCGCACGTCCTTTGACTTGCAGAGATTGCCTGTTTGTCGATGGGGGCTGTTAGCGTGTTCTGTCCATAGACCGTGCGTGGCTGAGTGAGAGAGTTAGTGGGGGGTTGGCAATAGCTGGCGAGAGTATTTTAGGGTTTTATTTTTTTAGGGTCAGTATTTGAATGTTAGCGATGCGTCCATCAACACTTTCTTACTCGTTGGTTGTGTTGGTGTTTGGTTGGTCATAGGCAGAGTGCATAGAGTTTTAGGGTTCAGGGGATAGGGTTTAGAGTGCTCAAGTGACCTATCTTTAGAGTTTAAGGTGTAGAGTGCTATAACCCTTTTTTTTTTACCAACCCGGAGATTGTATGCATTTTCATACATATTTCAGTTCCCGTTTCCATGGTTACCCAAGTACCGCACTCCTCCGCACTCGCAGCGCAAGACGGCGTCGCAGCAGTGCGTTTCTCGGGGCCTTTGAAGGGGGCGATGGATTAGTGGTGTGCGAGCGATTCCCGTCGGAGAAACCGACACTTGACACTGTGTCAAGTGTCAGCAACCTCACCAGCACTCCCCCAGCCAAGAGCCTCACTAAGTGAGTGGGTGGTTCGCATGAGCGCAACGCTGGTTGTATAGTAGTGTATAGTAGTGTATAGTAGTGTATATTCCTGTTCTCGAGTGCTAATCCTACACTACTGTTAAAACCCCCGCACCAGAAAAGCGACCGCTGGAGAGGTGAACTTCATTCCACAGTCACTGGAGAATCTTCTAGGCATTAATCTGAATCTCAAGGGCGACTCTAGCGGAGGCAATACATCAGACGAAGCACCCCACAAGGCAGCCCGGGTGAGTGGGTAGGGGTTTAAGGTTTAGGGGTTTAGAACAGAAAATCCTAAAACCCTAGATTGGGGTGTAGTGATAAATCTATGCATGCTGAAATGTACGGGTTGATACTTTGATGGGTGCCATCTCTGCGGTAGCCAAGGACATGCGTGGTTGTTACGTAGGCGTGTAGTACTGTGTATAGTACTCCATCAGTCATCTATACATTTCATTCTCTTAACGGGCTTAAACATGTCCAAAGTACCACATCAGACTTTTATGCACATCACTCTCGTCACGTGTTTATGCATGTACTTCATGCTTCCTCTATATACATCACTCTTCACATGTTTATGCATGTACTTCATGCTCCCTCTATATACATCACTCTCTTCACGTGTTTATGCATATACTTCATGCTTCCTCTATATACATCACTCTCTTCACGTACTTACACATATACTTCATGCTTCCTCTATATACATCACTCTCGTCACGTACTTATGCATATACTTCATGCTTCCTCTATATACATCGCTCTCGTCACGTTTTCATGCATGTACATAGTACTTGATCTTATGACGCCCTTCGCGTGCTTATACATGTGCATAGTACTTCGTCCCATGACTCTCTTCCTATCTCTATCGTGTCATGCTTTTGCGCGTGTGCTCATATACCTCTGCTTGCTCTTTAGCGTCGGTCTGGTGATCGCCGACAGTCTGCATTAGACGTCGATGACAAACAAGGCCATTGCGAGCGCATCAGTGAGCTGTTGAAGGAGTTGGAGATGTTCTGTGCTTCACGACTGGACGACGATACAACTGCGCCACGACACAGCAAGGGGGGGCATGTGAAGGTGTGTGCACGAATGGGTACGTGTATAGGTGTGTGTTTGCGTGTTTGTTAGAGCTCTTCTAGGTCTTTATAAACTTG